ACTCAATTTGCTAAAAAAATTTGTAAACCGCTTAGAGAGGGCTGAAAGCCCTATGAAGCGGTATATAAGTCTAATAAATAAATAAATAAATAAACTCTTGTTCTCTGTGTCTCAAACTCTACAGGCATTTCCTATTATGGTTGAATAAATTGTTGTCTCTTTAACGTTATGTTTAGCCTGGAATAGAAATAACTAGTCTAAACAGAATTAACCAACCAGAAAAAACAACAAGAAATTCTAGTCCCTTTCCTAAAAATCATCTTCTAATTCTCTGGGAAAAAAATCACTGTTTTTCAAAAATTCTGCAGACTTACTCACTTGTCAGATTTAACGGGATTATTTGTTATTCGAAAGAAGAAAGCAGCTTCAGAGACGACCAGGCTGTATCCTGTTCACACAAAAAAGAAGAAGATGATCACAAAAAGAGGAACTTTATATATTGCGGGAAGGTGCATTGACCAACCGGATTCGGTCCATAAAAGGGGAAGGAAGCTGAAAGTTTTGGCAAAAGGCTCCAATATCAAAGACATGAAAAAACAGAGAAGTTCCTTCAAATGGGGTGAGAGAACTCCAGAGCAAAGGACAGTCACTATCTTTGGTTGTGCAACCTGCAGCCTTGAAAAGAGCCATTACAACATCTGTCCAAATTTCAAAGCAATTAAAGAACCTGAAAGCAAATAACAGATACCTGATGTGACCCTAAATTTGATGGCTCTAAAAATGTAGGACAGACAGCATCACCACCAGATAGATTTGCAATTGGCTGACCAACTGCACTCAGCAGGTATCACGAACAGTTGTGGGAACTAGGTAAGTCTAGCAGCTAGCCTAAGGGTCGGCAATCTTAAACAGTCAAAGAGCCACAAAGATCCTAACTGGAAGCCTCCGGTTCCCGCCCCCCCCCCTCACGCTGTGTCCTTTTTCCTTTGCCTGTCCTAACCGAAACCTCTATCAATTGTGGAGCTGACCAGAAAGCCCACCCCTTGCCATAGAGTCTCCTCCTGGAGTGCCCTGCTTCCCCCTCAACTGGAAGCTCCCCTCAAAATTGTGGTGCCGACTGGCAACAGGGAGCCGCAGCAGAGGGATGAAGAAGCCACGTGCTCCACCAGAGCCACAGATTGCTGATCCCAGGGCTAGCCTATTAAAAAGGATGAGAGGGGATAGCTGTCTTCCAATACTGCTGTCACACAAAAAAGGGGACTGAAAAAAAAAGTACATTATTTCCATAGCAGGGAAGATAAGGCAGGAATGGTTAAAATGACCATTTTATTTAAAGAGAAAAATATGTTCTTATTTGGGTATCACTTCTGGAAATTGTGCTTGTGAGGAACAAAAATGAAACTCTGACCTTGGTTTTGTTGGTTAGCGGGATTTGATATTATAGGAATGGCTAGTTATATATTAATGTGTAAAAGCAAACAGTTGAGGTTGGAATGTATTTATCTTGTTCTACGCCAGGAAGAGTTGGAAGTCAATGCCCCCCTTTTTTCTTTTTCTCTTCTCCATTGTGCCTCACACCCCCTTTTCCCCGTTCCCTTTCCCTCCCTTAATTTCCTATTTTCTTTTCTTCTTTGTATTTTATATTACAATAGAATAACAGAGTTGGAAGGGATCTTGAAGGTCTTCTAGTCCAACCCCCTGCTTAGGCAAGAAACCCTACACTTCAAACAAATGGATATCCAACATCTTAAAAACTTCCAGTGTTGGAGCATTCACAACTTCTGGAGGCAAGTTGTCCCATTGATTAATTTTTCTGTCAGGAAATTTCTCCTTAATCCTAGGTTTCTTCTCTCCTT